GAAAACAACAAAGGCCAGCGTCTTGCAGAGACTGGGGAGGGGTGCCCTTGGCCGAGAAGACGCCTGCAGAGCTCAGAGGCCAAGGACGACCTGACGCCTTCTGCAAGGGTGAGCCATGCGGAGGGCAGAGTGTCTGCCACCGGGAGCAAGGACGCCCTGGGGGCGTCGCAGGGCCTGTGACCCCAAGGCCGGGCACCGCCACGGTCGCTGGGCTCCAGCGACTGCTAACGTCACAGGGAGAAGGAGCAGCGCCGGATGTCTTCGTCCAGAACTCGACAGTAACGGGAAAAAACTAGGCTCTGGAGTCGGGCCCTGGCGTCCCAGTCCGTGCGGTTCGGCCTCAGCCCCACCCTCTGTAGAGTGGGTTTGGCGACCCTCCCAGAGCTGTGAGCAAAGCGAGCGTCACTGTTTCTGTTCGGGGCATCCTATGAAACGGCCACCCTTGGGCTGGGCTTGGTTTGATTTGGGTTTGGGCCTGCCCCGCCCCTGCGTGCTCCCCGCTGTGGCTGCGGCTCCTGGGGGCGGGGCGGGGCCTCCCTCGGTGTGGAGGGGCAGGAGGGGCAGGCGCAGGGCGCTGCGCGGAGGTCGCGCTGGGGAGAGGGTTCGGGCCGAGCCCCCGTCCCTGGGCCCTGGGCCCCGGGCTCCCTGCCGATGAGCATTCCCCGCGGTCGGGGTTCCTTCCGCCACTTGGAGCTGGGAGCCCCCCGCCGCCCCGCCCCCGCACCGTGAATACGGCCACTGTGGCCGCCATGCCCGTGTCACCAGGAATGTTTCATTTCTAATCTTTTAAACTGATGCCTCCCACCGCTGTGCACGTTGGAAAAGGGGCGGAACGGGAGTGAAATGCCCTCCAGCCACGAGGATTCCAAACGAAAGAACGAAAGAACGTTCAGCTCTTCCTGAGAACCTTTTAAATGGATAGTCTTTTATTTTCCATAAAGGTTCATAATTTTATAATTCGATGTTTTATAAATCTGCTCCAAGTGGTGAGGAACAGGGGATCGGGTGTCTGATTTACTTCTTTCTGGCTGTGTCATTTAGGCACGAGACTTGACCTCCATGAGCCTCAGTTTCCTTCACCTGTAAAATGGGGACATTGATGACTGTTTTTGAAAATTGCATTGTAAAATGTCTGACAGGGTGAGCAGCTAATATACATATATATTATATTTTTAAAAATACCTATTTATATTTATAAAAATACACACACACATATATACATATGAATCGAGTCCCTGCCCCGGCTGGTGGGGCTCAGTGCATTGGGTGCCAGACTGCGAAGCAAAGGGTCTCCGGTTCGATTCCCAGTCTCAGGGCACAGGCCTGGGTTGTGAGCCAGGTCCCCAGGAGGGGGCACACAAGAGACACCACACATGGGTATTTCCTTCTCTTTCTCCCTCTCTTCTCCTCTAAAAGTCAATAAAATCTTTAAAAATATATAAAATTTTAAAAAGATAAGAGTCCCTGACACCTACCCCCTCTTGCGGAGACGAGCAGTTACTGAGGGCTCAGGAGAACCCACAGGAAGGCCGCCTGGGCCGGAGGAGAGAAGCGGCCGGTTTGGCAGCAGAGGCGACCACGGCCTGGGCTCCCGGCCCCTGCGGGTGCTGGGCAGGGCTGCGGGGCTTGCAGGTCCAGCCCGGCCCTCCGGGCAGGAGGCAGCGCCGCCCCATCGAAGCGGTTTCCCTTTATTCCCGAGCGGTCTCCCAGCACCTCCGACCTGATCTAGATCTTCCACAGTCCAGGCAGCCGTTACCCGTTTTTTTCTTATCTTTGTTTACACTGCGTCTTGCTGCAAAAAGGGTTTCAGCTGGTTCCTTGATGAGGGGGTGGGTGTCATGAGTGTTTGCATGGTTAAAATAACTTAAAAGGACAATTTTAATACATTACATTGTTTTACACTGCAGGTGGAACTCTTTAAAGGGATGTTTTGTGTGTCTGTGCTTTTCAGCCTGGTGTTGTGGTGAACTTTGCCTCTCTGGTCCGTCCTGGGAAAGGCGTTATTGTCCAGGTTTTGCAGATGAGAAGACAGAGGCTGGAGACTCACCTGCAGTTAGAACGAGCCAGAGGCAGCAGGTGCCTGGGGTCCCACGGCACCGCTGGGAGGATGGGAGCCCTGAGCCATGCAGGACGAGAGTGGCCCGGGTTTCTGTGGCTGAGCACAGACCACTCAGGACTGGCCTGGGGGGACTTCCTGATAAGGAGCAGCCACATCCCAGTACCAGCGACTGACCCGCACGGGGGCCCGCTGGGGGGACCCAGATGGTGCTGTGGAGATGGGGACACGCGGGTGTCCTCGGACACGAGCCTTTCGCTCTCCTCACGACCACCCGCAGTCAGTCACTTTTATGCCTTCAAAGTGGAGGCTCCCAACCCTGCTGTATGCGAGTCCACTGGGCCCCACCCCCCAGCACAGGACGGGTGGGGGGCACCTGGCTTCTCCAGCGCCCCTCAGGTGACCCCGACTGCGGCCGGGGTCGAGGACCAGGGCCCTGAGTGCCACATTCCAGCGTAGACGCCCGGAACCCGATGTGCCAGCATCCCTAGGGGACAGGATGTGGGATGTTGTGTCCACCAGCTCACTCCGTGGGGACTGACCGTAGTCAGTCCTCGCCTGCCCCCCTTGAGCCACAAGGCAGTGGAGGGGCCCGCTGGGCGGCCTGGACATCTTTGAGAGGGTCTGTCCAGCGGGTCCGGGGCAGCCCAACGGCTCGCCCGCAAGAGCGCGAGCACTGGCCGGCTGTGGGCGACACTGTGTGTGTGGCGCTCGGCCCCGGGGCCTGCCCAGGCCCGCGGGACCTCAGCCTTCACCTCCAGGAGCTCAGCAGCGTCTGGCCTGGGCGGGGGGCTGCACCGCCAGCGCCACCCCACTTCCTGTCGGCTGACCCCCGACTCTTGCTGCTTCTCCTCGCAAGACCGACGGCTGACATGGGCCCTCCTGCAGACCCATGGCGTCTACGTCAGCCCTGGCCACTCGTCTTCTCCTGATAGGCCACCCGTTCCGAGCTGTGCCCGGGGCGGGGGGGGGCCGCCCCCTCCTTCCCACAGCAGCTCCGGCCCCAACTCCCTCTGCGCCCCGCCTCTCCGCAGCAGAACAGGCTGGGTTCTGCGGGCTGGGTCCCAAGCCAGCACTGTCGACCTCAGCTTTGGGGCGCTGCGGTGACCCAGCCTCCTGGTGGAACCGCTTACAAACGCCCTGTGCCCCCCAGGGACCTGGGGCCGAAAGCCAGGCCTCCAGAGCCTGGAGCGGATGAGTGGGGAGATGGGCCGCCTGTGCCGGCAGCTGAGACCCTGCTTCCTGGTGCTCCGACACTGTGACAGACGTGGACACAGCGGTGGGCTGACGACGCCGCCGCCCACAGGAGGCAGGGAACTCGGTGGGGAGGGCAGAAAGGCAGGCGAGAGGGAAGGTGCGGACAGCGGCCCCCTCGGGCGCTGGAGTGGAAGTGGGGCTGCCATCGGAGGCTGTCCTGAGGGAGCGGTGCCCCTCAGACAGGGCCAAGGGCAGGTGGAAGGAGGCCCAGGCACGTGGGTGCGGGGGGGAGGGGTGGGAAGCCTCCCCGGCCAGGAACGTGCGCGCCCTGGCCCTGTCCCCTGCGGTCCCGACTCACCGTCAGCGTTCGCAAGGCCACACTCTGGGTTGGGTTTGTTGACGTCTGAGGAGCTCAGGTTAAGAGCCACAATCTTTTTTTTTTTTTTTTAACTACTGACTCAGAAAAAAGAGAAAGGATTTTTTCTTTCCTGGGCCAACTCTTGTCTGGGGCGCTGGGGAGGGCTGCCCTATCAGGTTTCCAACACGGCCCCGCTGGGCACTGTGTTTCAGTAAAACTAAGATAACGTCAATTACAGACACCACTTCGTGTATCATTAGGAAAGACAAGTGCTTCCTTCGGAAACTCTGTTGAAAGCTATGAACTCTTTCCCCAGAAGAAAAAGCAACGCCTAATTCTCAGCAATTCTATGACTGGAACTCAACTTCGCAGAGCGGACAGACCCCCAAGGGAGGAACCCTGGCCGAGCCTGACTGAAGGGCTGGCTCCCGCGTCGGGTTCCAGGAAGAGCTGGGGTCGCCTTTACAGGGAGCCACCTCACACCCAGCGATTCTAAGGCAGGTTCCCGTGCCTGAGCGGGGGGCCCAGCAATAGCCCTGGGTGAGACCCAGGGAACAGGGCCTGGGCTGTTTCCAAGGGAAACAACATGTTAAACTTCGGGTTATTTACTGACCCAGAAAGAGAGGAGCTTCTGGTGTCAGGGTTACATGTTCTTCAGTTTCAGAAGGGAAAGCATTTTCCTAAATTTATTAGATCTGGTTTCCTGAGGTCCCGACGGGCGCTCTGCCCCACGGGCAAGTCCAGGCTCCGGGGCGGAGGCCCCCTGAGCCAGCCTGGCCAGAGGCTTACAGGACACAGGGGAGCTCCCGGTCCCCACCTGGGGGTTGAGTCATCCTCAAGCCACAAAACGCAGAGGAAAGGGGACCCTGAGGCCCCAGCTGAGATTCCCAGAGCTGGTGACACAGCTGGGTCTGGGCTCCGAGGCTCAGCAAAGTGACTTTGGTAAGAGCCACTGCAGGCCAGGACTTCAGCAGGACAACCAAGGTGGGAAGGACCCCAAATTCTGGCTCCAATGCTGGCAGGTGGGCCACGGAGCCTGGACGCTTGGCCCCAGGAGCCCCGCCGTGAAATGGAGGGCCGGGAGGGACGGGAAGCGGGGCGCAGCGCTGAGGCCAGCGGCCCCCCACCGACTCTCTGCCCACGCAGGCCCCCTGCCCTGGGCCCCTTCCTCGCCTACAGGGTGGGACCCTGATGCGGACACCCAGTCGCCACCAGGACGCAGGTTCGGTCCCCCGGGCCTGCCTAGAACAGACCTGCCCACAGGGCCCCGCGCAGCCCCCCCAGGCCTGGTCCCCTCACAGGGAACGGGGACACCGAGGCCCTGAGAGGCGCCGCCCCTCACTCGTACTTGCGCACTCACTTGTTTCACAAAGTTTTATTCAAGTGCCTACAGTAAACCAGGCCCTGGGGCGACAGAGCTGGGTAACAGCCCTGCCCCCGGAGCTCACAGTCTGGGGGAAGGCGTCGCAGGAGCAGGTCGTGTTGGCGCTGCAGGCGGGGGCCCACCGGGTGCTGTGGCTGTGCGGTGTGGCGGGGGGCGGGGGGGCGGGGGGGGGCGATAAACAGACTGCCCCACAGGGGCCCTCGCTGAACGGGCAGCATCGAGCCGCCCACCTGCCAAGCCTGTCTGTTCCCCGGGGCCCTTCCCGACCCCTCTCCTGGGGACCGAGGCCCCTCCCTGCCCCGGGGGCAGACAGACGAGGCCCCCGCGCCGGCCGCTCCAGCCCCGACAGCCTCTCTCAGCCGGGCAGGCCGTTCAGGAGACTCCAGGCCCGTCCTTGCGTCTCTACCCTCCCGCGCGCAGTGCGCCCGCCCGAGGCGGACGCCCCGCGCAGCGGCACTCACAGCCGCCTCACCAGCTCGATGAGCTGCTGGATGTTCTGGTTGGGGTTGGACAGGCCGTTCCGGATGTTCTCCAGCAGGCATCTCTTCAGCTCAAAAACAGCTTCACTGTACCCCAAGCTCACAGTGGCCATGGGAGGCACCCCGTGCCACAGACCTGGGATGTGCCAGATGTGCTGCTTCTCGGGGTCACAGAAGGCCAGGTCCGCCAGCGTCCGAAGGCCGTCTCCCTGCTTGTCCGCCAGGGGCGCAGCTCGGCTGCCGTCCGCAGGCGGCTCCGGCCGCGGCCTCCTCTCCCGCGGCTTGGGGCCGGGGGCAGGCGCGTCGTGGAGGTTCTGGTACACAAACTGGTAGTTGGGCATGTGCCCCGTCTTCTCCAGCCTCAGAAATGCATGCACAATGGCCGGTGGGATGTCCCTCGTTTCAGCTAAACTGATCACGGAGACGTTACTCAGCCCCATAATCAAAGTGGCCAGGGAGGCCTCGAGCTCGAAGCGCTCCCCAGCGCTGGCCGGGGCGCCGCCGACCAACCCCCCCGAGTCTATCACCAGGATGTGGTCACAGCCCAGGTCCTGGCTGAAGCTCTCGGCCACCGTGACGAGCTGCATGAAGGCCCCTCGAGGACCACAACCCGTCCCTGTGGCAAACCGAAGCCCGAACATGGAGTTGAGAAGCGTGGACTTGCCCGTGCCCGGCACGCCCAGCGCCGACAGCACCACCAGCCGCGACCTCCTGCCCAGGCGCCCGTGCAGCGCCCTCAGGAGCCCCGTGACCCAGCGCAGGGGGGCGCTCCGCGTGCTCCCGTCGATCAGCTCCAGGGGCAGCCCCCTCACCAGCAGCTCCAAAGCCAAGCCTGGGAAGTGGGCAAACCGCCTCTGGCCCGCCAGCAGCTTCCCAGCCTCCACCAGGCAGCTCTCGGCCTCGTAGAACTGCGCCATCTCCCGCAGGAAGTGCTCCACGCCCAGCGGCTCCGGCCAGAGCTGCTCCCGCAAGGCGGCCCCCCCGCCCGGCCGCGGTCTCAGCGTCAGAGCTGCCTCCGGAGGCGGCCGCGGCCGCGGCTGCGCCACCCAGGCCAGCCCCCACTCCATCCACCTCAGGAAATACTGCCGCTCACCCAGGGAGGGGCAGCTGACACCGGCGATGAACTCCTGCACGGCCCCCGCGGGGTCGTGGGCGCTCTGCTGAGTGCGAAGCTCCAGCAGCCGGCGCCGCAGCTCGGCCGGGCGCTGGTCCGCAGGGTCCCCGGCCCACTGGGCCTGGCACAGCTCCTTCTCCACCTGGGCCGCCTCTCGCCACAGCTCCCCCTGCAGGCGCAGCTCCTCCCGGCGGTAGGCGTCCGAGTCCCTGAGGCTCCTGGTGACCCGTTCCATGCGGCCCTTCGCCTGCTGGCACTCCGCGCAGTCCTCGTCGACCCTGAGCCCCAGCGTGCGGGCTGCCTGCGCCATGTCCTCCACCGACACCCTCCTGCAGGGCGCCCGGGCCACGTGCGCCAGGATGGAGCGGACCCTGCGCAGGAAGCGCGCGCCGTCGGTGCTGCTGACCTTCACGAGCACGTGGGAGTGGTCCATCCGCAGCACGGGGACCAGCCTGTTCAGGAACCGCAGGTTGGAGTTCCGCTTCCCACGGTAGGGGCTCAGGATGAAGTAGTACTTGGTGGCCGACCCCTTCATGGAGGACAGCAGTTTGTACTCCTTCTTACTGATGTTGTCGGTCAGGATGAACACAGCCGAGGAGACTTCCGTCAGCAGCTTAAACTGCAGCCAGTGAGACCCAATGTCGCCTCTGAGGTTCAGAAAGGCCACAGGCTCTGGGAAGAGGTCCAGGTCCTCCCGGCCACTGGGCAGGGACCAGGAAATCTCCACCAGCCCGTCCGCAATCTCCCGGGAGCTGGTGCCCAGGCTCAGGTCCCGGTGCCAGAAGCAGTCGCGCTGCCTGTGGCCTGGGCTGAGCAAGGCGTTGAGCAGCTGGGACTTGGAGTTGCTGCTGACCTCCATGCGCACGAAGGCGAAGGTGGGCGTCCGGGGCAGGACCACACTGTCCTCCCAGAGGCTGCCCGCAGCCCTTGGGGGCTGTGCCCACCACGTCCGCACAACGCCCCGCATGGCCCACAGCAGGAAGCTGGGGGTGTGGTTCTCCGAGTCGGGCAGAACCAGTGGGAGTGCAAACTGGCAGAGAGACATCCTCAGCACGATTTCTTGCTGCAGGAAGGCGTCGGAAGAAAGCAGCAGGGCACAGAGGAGGTCCAAGGGGTTCACGGGCGTGTCGGGGGTGGGCAGCTCCGAGAAGGAGTAGATGTCCGCGGCGCTGTCGTCGGCCGCGTCCCAGTAGATGACCTCCTCCTCCGTGTGGCCCTTCTCCGCAGGCCGGGCGCCCGGGGGCAGGCCCAGCAGCACGGTGGTGCTCCGGGCCTCAGCACTGAGGGCCTGCAGCCTCCTGAGGAAGCCCCCGGGCAGGTCCCTGGGGCCCTGGGGAGCCCCGTTCCTCACGCTGTCACTGCTGATCTGCAGGGCGTCCTGGAGGCCGAGCTTCTGGACCTGGCACGTCTCCAGTCCCAGCAACGACAGCATCTCCTGCAGCCGGCTCCCCCCCGCTGTGGAAGGAAACGGGAGGTGTCAGTGTGCACCGTGCGGGCAGGGCCCAGGGTGGGGGGAGGGGGGCATCGGGGGGTGGGGGCAGCCCCCTCACTCCAGCGGGATGCAGGACCCCTGGGCCACCTGAGAGCAAGACACCCGCGAATCCCAGCACCCGGACACAAACACAGGAGTCTCACGGGACCTGAGGAAGGAGGACGGGACCCGGGGCCCACCCGCAGAAGTCCACGCGCCTGGTGCCTGCTTTCTCTGGAGGCCTTCGGGCTCGGGCAGCCGATCTCCCCACCCCCACCCCCAGCACGTCCTCTGCTTCTCTCGCACAGGGTGGGGGGGTAGGGGGGCAGCAGGGGACCCCCTCGCACTGCCACCAGGAATGCCCCACGGGTAACACCATCCCTGAATCACTGATCTCTCTGTTCGTGTTCTCCTCTCTTTACAAAGTAACTGGAGAATTTTGAAAGGACACAGGGAGGTACTACTAGGTATAGAGTGCTGCAAACCACAGCTGAACTATGTTACGGGTCTGAAGCCAATACTATGGGTTTAAATTTTTATTGTATTTATTAGAAATTATCGCAATCCCGCACGGGCTCGTTCAGCTCCCCACGTGCCACCCTTCACGACGTGGACCCTCGCAGAGACCGGCTGCTCCCGGCAGCCGCTTGTCAAAGCCTGTCCCGCGCCTGTCAAAGGCTTCATCCGCGTCCCTGTCTCGGCCAAGGCCCTTTACTGATTTTCATACCACCTACAATTAGTACACTTCACATGTTCGCTAAATCAACGTCACAAATAAAGATCCTGCCACGGTTCAGGACTCCTTCCCCCCCTTTCTCCAAAGAGGAAGCGCCGCGTGGGATGCAGGTGGGGCGGGCGCAGGCCGGGCCCAGTGGCCAGCAGCACCCAGAACCCTGGGACACGCGGCCTCGCTGCCCCACAGGCCACCTGCTGCCTGCACAGGCGCCTGGCAGGTTCTTGGGCTGTGTGCCTGCACGCGGACCAGGGGCTGGAACTTGCTGCAGAAACAGAAGGACTCTGGGGAGAGACACACTGAAGAAGAAACTCTCCGTGCGCAGGCTGCTGAGTTTTGCCAGAATGAAACCAGGAGCGTCGTCTTCCTTGTCACACACAGAACCGTCCTGATCTTTTAAGCAGCAGGGTGTGCAGTGCAACAGGGAAAAGCCGGAGCAAACCAGCCCGGTGACACACGCACGCCCCGGCGTGGCCCCCACAGGCCTGAAAATGAATCCCCGGGACCAGCCGGGGCGTTCCCAGGCTCTGCTGGGCTCCAGAGTCCCTTCGAGAACTTGTTAAAAATCACATCCAAAGATGCCAACGACTGTGCTGCTCTGTACACTAACAGGTCCAGGGGGTTGTTCCTCTGGCAACGTTATTCACATGTAAGTTGACATAAGGGGTCAATAGACTAGAGGTGATTTGGAGGCGGCCGGGTGGGGACCACCAGCACAGACGCTGTCTTCCTTCAGCAGGACAGGGAGCTGGAGTGGACGGAAGAAAGGGAAGGGAAAGCGCCTACCTGCTGGAAAGTCGCTGTCCTGAGCCTCGTTCGGACCTTCTGCAACAGCAAAGGAGAGAGCGTGTCACCCAGACTGGGGGCCTGTGGCACGTGCCAGCCGCTCAAGCTGATCTCTGAGGCCGCTGTTTCTCGCTAAGACAATTGTTCCGAAGGCAAAACGGCAGGTGGCGCTCCCTTTGCCCTTCCTCCCTCTCCTTCCCCGCCCCGGTCCCCCACCACAGCCCGGGGCTCCCACCTCCATACTGAAGCTCGCGGTCCTCTCCTTCCATTTCTCTCCATTCCAGATCTGGAAGAAAAGCACAGACACCCTTAGTTTCACCCGCAAGTAGGAGCTCCGACATGTCCCAGCAATGCCACGCCTGGGTGTGTACCTCCAAACACTGAAAACAAGGTCCCAAAGAGATATTTGCCCACCCACGTTCATAACATCGTCACGCACTGCAGCTAAGACAAAGAAACAGCCCGAGAGTCCATCACAGGCTGAACAGACACACAGTGTGTGCTCTGCCCCTGCAGTGGCATCTTATTCAAAGTTGAAATGGAAGGAGGTTCTGCCAAATGCTGCCGCACGGACGACCCTGAGGCCGCATGGAACAAGCCCCTCGGGAAAAGGCACGTAGTGCAGGCGTCCGCTGAGGGGGGTGCCCACAGCAGCCGCATCACGGGGACAGAGAGTGCAGCGCTGGGGGCCGGGCGCGCGAGGAGGGAGGTACGGGTCCCCCGACGGGCACACAACACCGGGAATGTTCAAAGTGGCCCTGACCGGGAAACAGAGCGGGTGAGGACTGTGTGCACTTTAACAAAAAAGAAAAAAATCTCTGGGGAAGGAAACCATTTTATAATGACCAGTTCTGTGGCTGTTCACATTCACAAAGTTGTGCGATCTCCACTTACCTATTTAGTCCCCAATCACTTGAAAGGAAGGCGCCGCGCCCGCCGTGGAGCGCCCCCCAGCCCCTCCCAGCCCCCGCAGCAATGCCCGCCGCTCCCGAAGCAACGGCAGCGCCTCACGGCCCCCCCAACAGGGTCCGAGGGCTCCGACTCTCCCACACCAGACAAAACCCTTCTTTTGTTTTTGTGATAGCAGCCGTTCTAGTGGGTGTGAGTCGTAACTCACTGAAAAAATAGATCTGTTTGGATTAATGAAACAAAGTGATAAGCCCACCCCCACCCTTACTTGCGTATTTTGTGGAGTTATTTTGGCACAACACTGCTACTATCCAATAGAACACATTCAGTTGGAGAAGCACCAAATCAACGAGGGGGGCATCCCAAACCAGTCGCTGCGTCTGGAGGCGGCCACACCTTAAAGCTCAAGTCACGAAGACAGCGGCAGCCCCACCCCGCCTGTCTCCAGAGAGAGGGGGACCGGCTTAGGGGGACCCGGACCAGAAAGACCACAAGCCCTCATCTGCCAGGACAGTTGCAATTTACACCTGTGGTCCCCACAAAACGCACCGTTCCCCCACAGCAGCGCCCAGGGTGGGAACCAGACAGGCACCCTGGACAGGAGTCGGGGCTGTTACGACACTCGAGCTGCAGGTGTGTGTCCCGGGGAGCTTACCACCTGTTTAGAATGGAATCCCGTTTTGAGCACACAAGGGGAGTTTTTAAAAGAGTAATTCCTAGATGGAACATTCCTGGGAAAGGAACAACGGAGCCTTAGGCTGCTTTGCTTTTCGGTCCCGCTCCCCGGCCCGGGGCAGGGCTGGGGGAAGCAGCGCACCCGCAGAGGGGAGGGCCCGAGCCCGGCCTTACCTGCGCCGGCCACGGCGGCTCGTGCCTCGGGGGCTTTTATTTCGGGGGCCACTTCTCCCAAATCTGACTGCCTGCAACAATTTCAGAAGAACAGTAGAATTAAAATCATGAAATACCACATTCTCCTTTCAAATTGGCTGCATATTAAAACGTCATTGGGGGCCTTTCAAAACTGCAGACCCCAGAGCCTTGAAACCAGAACCTCCAAACCAGAACCTCAGAGGTTCTGAGTCCGGGCCTGGACGTCCCTGCTTCTGAAGGTGCCGTGGTGGTTCTGGTGGGCAGCCCCGCAGAGAAAATGTCCGCGTTCTCAGAAAGCACCAGCCAGCGCACAGGCCCAGCCGCTCAGAGAGACGAAACTGTACATACCCGCAGACCAGCAGTCCCACTTCTACCCTGTGGAAATAACGGAGATCTAGTCACAAAGGTGTTGGTGCCGGCTTCATGTCTCACAGCAAAACACTGGACACATCTTAAACTCAAAGTCCAACAACCGGGAATTCTGGTACAGTTGTATTCGGCAACCATTACGAAATATTCTGAGTCTCGTTTTATAGAAACACATGCTGGGCCCGAGGTTGGGGATGGTGTTCGTCAGAGTCAGGCTCAGTGTGGTGGCGATTTGATAAAACAGAGCATGTGTATCTGCAGGTCAACAGAGGGGAGCCCGAGGAAACTCGCCGGACGTGGCCAACGAACGCGAGCAGAGGGGAGGGCCCCGAATTCCTCCCCGTGGGTGTGCTCCGCGTGCACGGCCCTCCACAGAGTCCGCTGCTCGGGGGGCCCGGGAAGGCGCGAGCGCGGTCCCACGGCCGGAGAAAAGGCCCACGGGCTGGGGCGGGGGGGTCGGGCTCAGCACTCACAGAGCCGCACCGGGATGTGCGTGTGTGCACGCGTGTTCACGTGCACACGCATGGACTTCCTGGCTCTGTCCCCTGGAAGGGCCGCAGAAGCACCCTGTACTATCATTCTTCGCTAGAGACAGCCACGCTCTGTGGGGAAATGGCTGATGCCAGGCCGGGTGCGGGGAAGGTACCAGACGAGTTTAAGCACCTGCTTTCAGAAAACACAAAGTGCTCAAAACGGTGACGGGACACAGCAGCCGGCAACAAGGGCTCCCACGGTCACGTCCGGGACACTCAGACCATGAACAACATCCACTGCAGGAACTACTTAAAAGCCACCGAGAATAGGAATCAATGGCACAGGCAGATGATAAACGGGGACCAACAGGGGGACCGGCAGGGGCAGAGGACTCTCGTCCTGGCGGGACGCGGCCGCGGGACGGCGGTGGCCGGAGCAGCGCCACGGGCAGCCGTCACAACCCTCACCGCCGACACACACCAAGGCGCAGACGGCAACGCAGGCAAGGAACAAGCCGCGTCTTAACATGTCTCCTCGGAGGCTGGTTACCAGGCGCCAGGGAGCAAGCCCAGTAACCGCACTTCAGGGGGCGACCACAGCCAGTGACCATGGGGACAGGTCGCCACGGTGTGCCCCCCGCCGTGGTCCCCCGGGAAAGGCCCAACACCGCCTGTGCGGGGTTCCCACGGAGAGTGCGGAACCTGGACCGAGTCGCGTGCACAAACCCAGACTGAAACCGCACGCGAGGCGGGGAGGGCGCTGCACTGTCCCCAAGTTCGAACACAGACCCAGACAAGTGCGGAAACGGCCCCGGGGAAGGTGCCGATGAGGCAGGAAATCAAAGTGCAAGGCCGCGCCCTGGACCGGACCTTGGGGCACAAGGAGAAGTTTGAGGGCCCGCTGACCAACTTGAGATGCGGGTGTTGTCAACGTTACGTTAACAAACATGAATAACTCTGCTGTGGTTCCGTTAGGGTGTCTCTATTCTCAGGAGACAGACGCCGAAGGGTTTCAGGATAGAGGGTGAGGACATAGGCAGCTGACTCTGTAACCCTTAAGAAAAAATGATACACGTGTATTAATTATGTGTAGTATGTGTACTACACACACACACACACACACACACACAGCAAGAGAGAACGAATGACAAATGAGAAAAGTAAATGAGGTGCAATGCCAAGAATAGGGGAATTTTTGGTTTTATACTTTATCTCTAAGCAGAAATTATTTCTCAATAAAAAGTTTGAAAAGTTAGCAGGGTAGTTACCTCTGGGCACTGTATCGGTTTATTCTCTCTTATTTCAAGTCCTCTAAGTAGGGGATGCACGTGCTTATTTATTACAACTGAAAGGGGTGTGAAACTGGCGCTCTGAGTGGGGAGGCAGGGCCAGAGCACAGTCTGGGGGCCCCACGGAGGCCTGGCCACGCGGGGCCCCAAGCCACTGCCCAGCTCCCTCTGGGGCACGTGGTTCTGAGACGCGTGACCCAGCTCCACGCGCTTCCCCAGCAGGACGAACACTCTGCATTCGCCCCGTCCTCCCTCCCGGGACCTGCCCGGCTCCTCCGGGCCTCCCTGGGGTCCCGCCATCAGGGGACCACCTGGGACCCTGGGGGCTGCTCAGCCACTTTCCCGCAGGGCACTGGGAACTCCGACCTCGCCTGAACCCACTGCCGATGAAACGGGGTTCACGTGGCGTTCTCTTCACTCGCACGCAAAGAACACATAGCGCTTTTGTAATAAGAAAAAGCAACATTAATGAAAGAAAACGACAGGACAGGTTAAGACGGTTCCCGGAGGGACGGAGGACAGGGGTGCAGAGCCCAGCACAGGACACGCCCCAGCGGACTGCCGCGACGCGCTGAAGCGTCACCCGTTTCTGTCCTGCACAGAGAGCCGGGCGCCTGAGCGGCACTGTCACAGGGTCAGCCTCGGTTTGCGCGCTGCTCCATAAACATGTACATAAGATGCTGCACATCCCTCTTGTCAATGAGAGAAGCCTCACCTGCATCCAACGGACAGACAGCTCTGCTTCCCATGCCGCCCGGCCCGAGCTGTGCCCCTCAGGTCCCCAGGTGGGAGCCACGACCCCACTGTGGCTGTTTGGAGAATGGGGTCTTCAGGAGGGTCATTAGGGCCAAAGGAAGCCATAAGAGTGGGACCCTGATCTGGTGGGACTGGTGGTGTGGGGTCACTGGAAGAGACCCCTGGGGTTGGTTCTCTGTCCACAGTCTCAAGAAGGACCACAGAGGCAAGAAGGCGGCACCTGGACTCCCAGGCAAGGCCGCAGGAGAAGCCGAACCGACCTGCTCCGTGACCTGGGACTTCCAGTGCCCAGAACCGCGAGGCGCAACCGTCTGTGGTGAAGTCCCCCGGCCGTGCTACCTGGTAGGTCCCGGCAGCCTGAGCTGACTGCACCCCAAGCCATGCTGCGGGCAGAACTGAGGCTCCAGCAGCGCAGACCTGCAGGCTCGCAGCCCCACCTCAAACGTGAATCTTCAGGTTCCCTTCTGGCTCATGACTTTTTATGCTCAGAGAGGTTTTTGGTAACTTACAGTTAGAGCCAGTCATGATAAAAATCACATAAAGAAGCCCATCTGCCAAGTCAAAGTCCGGCCGTTTCCCAAGCACAGAGCCTTGAGCCGTGCGGAGCCTCCTCGGATCAGTCTGGGGCCCGCCAGGCGGAGGCAGGAAGCCAGCGCCACGCCGCCAGCCCCAGACGCGGGCTACGCGGCTTTCAGCCGAGCTCTGCCTGAAGATCACTCCTATCAGTGATGTCTTTTTCTGATTCCAAGCATACAACAAATATAAAACACAGAAACATGCAAAGAAAGGCCTTTGCTCTTTGGAAAGACACCCCACACGTCAGCCAACTCTCTTCCCCTTGTAGCCTGGGCACGTTGCCATGGGCCGTGTCTTTAACCGACAACATACAGGTAGGCCTCGTTCTACGCACCCGCTTTGCTTCCCCATTGGGGGCCCCATCAGTCTCGGCCCCGGGCCCTCAGCCCCAGGGAGGGCCCCGCTCGGGCGCGGGCCCCTGGCCTCCGAGCTCCCTGCGCTGGTGGCCTCAGCAGGGGCGCCGCGGCTCCCCTTCCATGCCGGCTCTCCGTCCGGCACCGACTTCCCTCCAGGGTGAGGGGCAAGCCGACCACCGCCCTGAGGGTCCAGTGGGCCCAGCAGATCTCTCTAAGTCAGCGGACGGACCCCCTGGTTCGCGCACCGGGCCTCCTGCGCATCCGCAGGGGGCGGCAGCCCTCTGCCTCGCGGGCTGTCTCTCAGGAACCACCCGAGGAGCTTTTCCACTTTCGCCTGCGAGTCTGACTCGGGAGACCCCCACCTATGAAGGTGAAGATGCCGGCCACCACGCGGAGCTGGGCACAGCGGGGACAGTGCCCCTCCGTGACCAGATCAGCACCCAAACCTCATGCCCTGGGCTGATTCCTAGTAACAAACCTGGCTCCTTCACGATGGTGCCAGTGACAAGACGGCCCAGAAAACCATCCAGCAGGAGGACTCCCAGGCAGACACACGTGCCGCTGCTCCCTGCAGTGCGGTCGCCCCCTGCTGTTAACTGCTTTGAGTGATAAAGGTTCTGACTCAACTTTTGGTGGTTGATGTTAACGGTTTTCAAGACCTGCCACTTCTCACGCCGGCTCCACATCTGGGCCCCGAAACAAAACAGAACCCAACGCCAGTTACTCTGCCCACAAAGCCTCACTTTGTTAGTATAAACACTTTCAAATCCTCCCAAAACATATGTTCAAGTCCTAACCCTAGTGCCATGGGTGGGACCTTAAAATTAATTAAATAAAGATGAGGTCACTGCGATCGGGTGGCCCAATGCAATGGCTGGTATCCTTGGAAGAGGAACATCTGGATACACGGGCAGACAGACATGCGGCCACGGAAGCCAGGGCTGCAGTCAGGCATCTACAATCCAAGGACCCTGGGCACTCGGTGACAGGCACCAGCAGATGCCCTCTGAGCTTCCAGGAAGAAACCAGCCGCGGACACCTCAGTTTTGAACTCTGGGCGTCCAGAACTGGGAGGGAAGAAATGCCTTTGCTTTAAGCCCCTGGTCTGTGGTGCTGTCCCAGCACCTGGCAAACTAGCACAGCGCACATGGCTCTTGACCATGGACCCGCTGGACCGGTCCTTGCGTGGGTTGTCCTCTCGAGCCTCTGCTTCTTCTCTGCTTCTTCTAAGGACACCAGTCCCTGGATTCGGCCCTATCTTACCCAGGGCGGCCTCATCTTAACTAATCACACCTGCAAAGGGCCTGCTTCCAAAAAAAGGTCACATTCTCAGGTCCTAGGGGTGAGGATGTTTGGGGGGAGGGGAGCACAATTCAACCCACAACGTCCAAACCTAGGGGTCATCCCACCTCTGAAAAGTTTGGAAGGCATCCTGCAGAAGTGGGTACTGAGAAGATGCACATGAGAAGGTTCCACCGAACGGCACGTGGGGACAGATGTCTGGTATCAG